TAATTTGCATCAAATCATGGACTCTGTATTATCTGCTCTAAATGAGAATATCCAAGAAGGAGATAAACATGCTGAAGTTTTATATGAGCAAATGGATCAAACTTTTATTTCAGCAACAAAGTATCTTGCTGATTTAACAAATATTCTAAAAAAATTAATAAATATATTCCAATTGGAACATTTATCATTATCACATTTTAAATCACAACTTGATACTACACTTAAAGCAATCCAAACAGAATTTATAGGATCTGAAGAAATTCCACCAAATTATGGCGCAATATTTAAAAAATATTTAGATGAACATAATAATTTTATTCCACAATTTGTTCCAGAATATTCAATTGCAATTATTAATGCCATTAGAAATAGATTTCCAGAATCTGAATTATATGGCTCTTTCAGCATTCTTGATCCAAAAGAGCTTCCAAGTGATGATAGAGAATTAGCTTTATATGGAAATCAGGAAATAGAATTTTTAGGTGATTTTTATGGAGAAACTAAATATATAAATAGAATTGAATTTAGTAAAATTATTGATAAAGAAAAACTTAAGCAAGAGTGGGATTTAGTAAAATATTATCTCTGGACTTATAAAAATAATAATGAAGAAATGGATTTTATTCAATTATGGAAGCATATATTGGATACAGATGAAGATTTTTCTTTTAATTATCCAACTATATCACTCATTCTTAAAATAGCGCTGATTATACCCCTTTCTAATGCTCAAGTAGAAAGAATATTCTCCCAGCAAAATTTAATAAAAAATAATATGAGAAATAAAATGAGTATTGATACTTTGATTAATCATTTAATGATATTATTAAATGGACCAGAAATAGAAGATTTTGATTTTGAAAAAGCATATAAGCATTGGGAAGGCAAAAAAATCAGAAGGAGCAACCATGAATGTTAAAGAAAATTATTACAGTACCTGGAAGAAAGTATGCAGTTTTTGAAAAATATTAAAATGTTACATATTAACTTTATATGAAATTTACATTATTCAATAGCTTAGGTTCTTACAATTGTGCATATGATTTAATGTTTTTTGTAATATCTAGAACTAAAAATGCAAAATTTGATTAAATTTGTAAAAGTTACAGTATTATCTAAATTATCAAAATTTCACATGATAAAAATTTATTAAATTATACCAAATGAAAACTATGACTTTGTATATTAAATATGTAAAAATTCCATGATTCAAAACATATGGAAAAATTAACAATTAAAAAATTAAAAACATGATTCAAATTGTAATCAGCAAATTTTTGTTATTATTAATTTTTTAAATTAAAAAAGTTCTAGATATTACAAAAAACTTTAAGCATAATTGTAAGAACCTAAGCTACAAAATGTCATTTTTTATTTATTTTTTTTATTACGAAAAAACTGCTGTATATTTTATAAAATAAATTTTTTTTCCGATTATGGAATGTGCGCATGTAGATTGTGTCACCATTGAATTTACTCACTGGGCACAGTTGAATTACTCATTGAAACCAGTGTTGAAAATTCAATGCCCGCAATGCCTGTGTGTAACATTACACATCAATCAAATTTTTAATTTTTGGAGATAGTTTCTAAATTTGTACTAGTTATACAATGAAATTTCAACACTGGTTGAAACATCCCAAATTGTAATTTCTTGGTTGCAGGCACCAACTTTACATGCCTCAATAATTCTTGGTTTAAATGTAGCTGTTTTGCCATTTTTTGACCCATGATAGTTTATTAACCCATTAAAATTAATATCATAAATTTCCCTATTATTATTATATGTAATGATTACTGTTAGTTTTTTCTGGATATAATTAACACAGTAGAATTAAATAAAGTCATTATGGTTATTAAAGAAATAAATTTATATATATTCAATAATATATTCTTATGGGACACATTCTAATTATATTTAAATGTATGAATTTTATACCCACAATCCAGGACCACTCATTAAATAACAGAAAACTGAAACTAAGTAAAAAACTATATTCACTTACAAAGATATGGGCTGTTAAAATTGTTTTATGTAACATAATAAATGCATGACTTTCTAAATTTTGTTCAATCATATTAATCATATTGGTGTGGTGTTAAAGAATGATTATATACAGACAGACTGAAAAACAATATTTAAGAAAATAAAATAAGAATATTTGATTATTATTTAACAGTACAATATATGCATAAACTTGTCACTCTACCAAAAAAAAAATTTTTCAAATGAAGGTTTTATTGCATCAATATCTATCTGCTTTAAAGGGAACTTTTGTGATGTATAAAGGAACTGAGAATCTGTTCTTTGGTTTAAACTATTACACAATATTGATTAATAAGAGTGGATTAATATTGAAGGAATTTCATCTGGCTGTCACAGTTTTATTAATGCGAGAAAAAATAAAAAATAAAAATTATATTTATTATATTTAAAATTTTTCTATAATCTTAATAAGAATTTGTAGAATTAAAAAAGGGATAGACATCGGAAAGCACAAAGATCTTACATCAAGAAGTACTTTTTAGCAGGTAATGCAAACAAAACTGATTAAATAACCACTAATGGCAAAATTCAAATTTGTGAATATTTCTGAAGTGATAATTGTTACAAATTGGATAGCAAACTTGAAGAATCCAATTCCATATTTCAAAAATCATCTGGATTAAAGGAGAAGAGATGAGTAATAATAATGACAATGAATAATTCAAATGTATTGAGATTGGCTCACAAGAAATGACAGCATCCAGCAACAAAGAATCTAGTGTGCATGGAAAGGTAGAAAAACTGTCTCAGATGATAAATTTTATAAATGCCTTGCAAAAACATATGCACCAAATGCATTTTTTAAATAATTTAATTCATCATTATATGTTGATGTATCAATTCTTCCGCAGTATTAATTAGAGGTTGGCAACTGTTGTATGTGAAATTGAAATATTATGGAATGGGGTGAAATAAAGACTAGTGCCGTAATCCAAAAAAGGAATAAGTATGGTTGCAAAAGTGGTCGCAAAGGTAATTGCAACCACTTTTTATATGCCGTAAATACAATTACTATCATCATCATAATTTACGGCACTAGTCTTTAGGGTGAAATTCTGATTGGCTAATTTGAATTTCACATATGTGAATTGCGAATTCACATAATTTCATTTTCACGTACAACAGTTCCCCAAATGATCCGTTATTATTATAACGAGGTATTCGGTAACATTACTGCATCATTTGAAAAAAAAAGATAATAATTAATAAGGTTTAAACTTTAAAATTATACAAATTAATTTTTTCTTTAATGCACAAAAAACTGAGTTTATTATAGAGATGGGCAAATGGCGTATAGTTGAACACTATACGATATTATACGATACTATACGTAAAAAATGATTTCATTTATTGAAAAACATTTATCTAACATTTACCTAAATAATGATTTTCATTTATTGAAAAACATTTACCTAACATTTACCTAAATAATGATTTTCATTTATTGAAAACATTTATCTAAATTATGATTTTTATTTATTGATTTATAAATACGCCCATCTCTGAATCAATTCAAATCACTTTTCTTTTTTCAAAAATAAAAAGACTGCGTGCAATTTAAGGAGACAGAGATTAATTTTCGCGATAAATAAACATTCAAATTAGTGAACTTTTATCAAAGGAAATCTGTTACGCAACATAAATGTCTCCAGTGACTGTTTATTCAATAAAGTGCTTATTTGGGTCAGTTGGCTGTTGATGTTTTTCAATTTTTCTTTTTTCCTGCCGTGCACAGAAATAGAATTTCTATTTGAATAAAGTGTATTCAAATCAAGATTGGGTGACGAAAGTATTTTGGAGTGTAAAAAGTATTTCGTCAAATGGGGCACCTATGACGAAAAGTAACGAAAAGGGGTCTGATTCATTTCGTCGACAGTCATTTCGTCGACACCCATTTCGTCGAATGTTCATTTCGTCGAAAA